AAAGATACGTTCATCAAGAATCATAAGGTACAACAATTAATGATAATCATAGGGTACAAATAAGCAATCAGGAGATAATATCAATATAAATTGTAAGGATACAAGCAACACAGCTACAGTCATACAGTCTTAAGTGGAAGGAGATGGGTGGTGGGAATGATGAGAAGATTAATAGTAGTGCAGACTGAGTAAATAGTTTGACAGTGTTGAGGGAATTATTTGTTTAGCAGAGTGATGGTGTTCGGGAAAAAAATGTTCTTGGGTCTAGTTGTTTTGGTGTGCAGGGCTCTATAGCATCGTTTTGAGGGTAGGACTTGAAACAGTTTATGTCCAGGATGTGAGGAGTCTGTAAATATTTTCACATATAAATATCATATAAATGATCTTTATAGGTTATCTCCCAAGCTATTTATTCCTAATAGATTATGCTCATCCATGGTATGGAGCAGAACACTTACTGAGAATTCCCATCCCTTCATGAGATACAACAGGAGGGGCCTTGGAGGGAACATCTTCTGCGAGAGTTTTCGTCCTATGGAATGCCCTTGTGCCCAACAAAAGATCAATGCCTCCTTTCTTGCTATTCAGAAATGTTGTGAAAACTTGTCTTTTTCAAAAAGCATTTGGGGACTGAGGTTTGAGGAATCAAAGGTACCTATATATCTGTTGGGAATCTGATAACACACACACTGCATTTCAGCTACATGAACATATTCAAACCCACCATTATCATAGGAGCAGATTGAGTGATTGAGGCCAAGTTACTATTTCTCAAGCCAAATTACCTCTGTCTGGTTGGTTATGGGGAAAACAATGAAGGAGGATGTCCTGTTCGCACCATTATGGGAAAAATGAGATCTAAATTTAAGAAGTAAATAAAGTTTATATTGTCTAATATGCTGTTTACTTTGATTTATATACTCAACACATTAGATGGATGAGATTATTCAAACTATCTTGAGTTTTGATGCAATGATTTATTTCATTTAAATATGCTTGTGGAAAAAAGCATTTTTAACTTATTTTTTACTAAAACAATCTTACCTGGCCAAGCTAATCTCTCTGTATGAAAACTCATCACAAGAAGTATATCACCATCTTAATTATAAGCCTTTGCATTTCCCCACTAGTAGCAATGGAAGGATTGGAGCTCTGTCACTGAACTGCATGGATTTTCCCATCAGCAGATAATGCTAAAGTCACTGTTCTCCATTTCCATTTCCATTTCTATTTCCCATCTTTGTCCAGCATCCTGATTATTTCCATGTGTGCTACAGTGTGCTCACAGCTCAGTGAGGAAGTCATAGACTTACCTTCTCCTATTTTCTCTGGCAGTAGACCTGTGAGATAGGGCAGAGAGTGATCGCCCAAAACTACCCAGTGAACTTCCATGGTTAAAAGTTGTTACTCAACTGCTTCTACTCAAATATTTTAATTGCGACATGACACTGGCTCTTATTTATGGAATGACCAAGTTTCTAAGTCTTTATTTCATAAGACAGAAAGAAGGGCACTACTATTATGAGCCATGGTGGCCCAGTGCTTAGAATGCAATACTGTAGGCTACTTCTGCTGACTTCTGGTTGCCTGCAGTTTGGCAGTGCAAATCTCACCAGGCTCAAGGTTGACTCAGCCTTCCATCCTTCCGAGGTCGGTAAAATGAGGACTCAGACTGTTGGGGGCAATATGCTGACTCTGTAAACTACTTAGAGAGGCCTGTAAAGCACTGTAAAGTGGTATATAAGTCTAAGTGCTATTGCTATTATCAGAGCTATCACATCGAAACCCAGCAATTATCACTCAATCATCATGGTGTGGTAACTACCTAGCAAAAATTAGAACACCTAATGCAAATGCAGAGTATTTGCACTTTTTCCCTAACATACATATTATTCAATTCGTTTGTTTGTTTGTCTTCTTATGCTCACAAATGCTGCTTCAAGCAACAAGCATGACCTCTGTGCAATTTGTTGCCACAGAATGTGGTAAGGGCAAGTTTATGGAGAGCTTTAAAGGATTAGACACATTCAGACAGGTTACAGCATCCAAGGTCTATTAGTCAGGGAAACTTTATGGTATCTGTAGCTTCAGAAATAACAACTTGTCCAAATCCCTACAAGCAAAATTGAGATGTACAAATAACCGACATCTTGCAACTTGATAGAGCACAGCAACAACCGGCATTAACCAATGTTAAACCACATACTGGTACAATTTGCTGGATTTAATGGGTATCTGGTTTGATCCATCAACATGCTTCCTACATTCCCTGAGGAAAGCAATCTCATGGGCATTTTTTGGATGATCATCAGAGATAGGAGGAATTTTTTGACACCCAGAATCTAATCTGGACTTTAATCTCATACAAATGAATACTTCCAAAATAAAAATGATCAGAAAGATGTTTTAAAGAGTACTTTTCTTTAGTTTACACATAGAGGCATTTTGTGTAGGCATCTCAATAGTAATTATAACCACATTTTTGAGAAGCTATATTTTTATTGCTTATACAGTAACCTCATAGTCATTGCAATTATTCAGAAACATGTAGCATTTGAATTTACTTACTTCTCTCTATCACTGTGGTTTTCTCCTTCTGTCATGTTGATAATATATTTTAACTTAGCAACTCTTATGCTATATAGACTATTATTTCCAATAGACGGTTGAAGAAGAGCCCTTAAAATAAAGAATGTGTTTAAACACAAAATTCTCTTTTGTGAAAAAGGACATGCAGACTACATGTTTATTATTTAAATCAATATTTTCATTTTTTTCATTAGTTTTCCAGCAAGGTAGGAACTAAAAGCTTACTTTTTAAAAGAAGGACTTTTGTAGATACTACCTTATTGCATTTATCTGCACGTTTTAAGGGCATTAAAAGTGTGATCATATTGTTCAGAGCATCACCACTGTATTTTACTCTGAGAGAGAGCTAACTGGATAACTGGAATGAAAGAAACATCTTTTTTCTGTGGCCTCTTGTCTCCTAAATCATGACCCCCCCCCCACCTCCAAAAGACAAAGAAATACCTTCAAATAATGAAAAGAAGTGAGAATGAACTAGGGAAAAGCATTACTTATTTTATTTTGGCTCTTAAATTCAAGTCTGTCAGAGCTTATTCCAGTTCTAGACTCCATAAAACACTGTGCTGAGATTTTCTTCCCTTTTTCTCAGTGTTCTTTATTGGAGACATCTTCCAATTTATCTTCCTCCTATACTGTCCTCCTCTCAAATAGGCTCCTTCCTGATAAGAGGGGAAAAAAGATGCATCTGATCTTGATGAGCTCTGAGTACAGCACCAACAAAGTTCTGCCTGCTGCTAGTTGAAAAACACTGATCTGAGTGACAGATCATTAAGAGGTTATGCTTTCTGTATAAACGGACTACTAAGGACATGGATTGCATCAGATTTTGCTTTGATTGAAGACGTAAGCAAAGTTCCACAGATTAAAAGAAGTCAATTTTATTTTTTTAAAAAAGTGGTGAAAATACCTAATTTAAAATGATCCTGTAATGCTGTAATGTGATATATACCCATTGGATTTTTATATTTGGGGAAGGTGCATATGTCATTAAAATACCTAGCTCTTTGTTTTTATTAGCTTGATGCTTAGCACCTCCTGTTTGGACTCAGTTCTCCAACTCCCACCACCCTCAATAGGATCCTTGTGCTAATAATGCTAATAATAGAGCAATATCCAAGAATATTTCCTAGCCTAGAAATGAATTTATGCTACCCAGTTGTTTATCCGTGTGAGTCTTCTCCCACTTCCATATGTATTAATTCCTCACAGATTGAAGGCCTGAAAAGAGTTAACAGCAATTGGATAAGTTGGGAGCCAGCATGTATGTGTAGAACTAAGAAGTGACTTTTTAAATTAGTGGATATGATGATTGTGACATGGGTATGGATTTATAAACTTTAAATTTTAGATGTATATCCGGATGTTCCAACCATGGAGAAATGTGAAACCTCATGAAATCCTTACCTCCCTCTCTCCACACACCCCACCCCCGCAACAGAAAAAGCATATGTTTGGATGGAGGGGTTTCTTTCAGCTTCCATAACAAATGGCATTATACGCTTCTCCAGGCCACCCAAGTTGACTCCGTGATTCCAAGAGAGGGGGAATAGTTTAAGCAGAAATTGCTTAAAGGAAGAAAAGTATAAAGGAGCTCAGTTCATGGGAGGTTTTCCAAAGCATTGAAACTGAATGGCTTAGTTTAGGTCATGGATGGCAAGATGGCATTTTGTACTGGGGCCCTCCCTGCCAAAGGACCTCTTTTTTCTTAATCATCTTGTTCAAACAAGGCCTTGCCAGAATAGAATGTTACTCTACATGTGATGCAAACATCTAGAGAAGGCTTGAGAGCTGATCTTCCTTGCCAGATACATGGAAGATAGCAAGCCTTCTCAGTAGAAGACCCCATTGTGTAGAGTACTCACACACCCCAGTTAGATGTATCTTTCTTCCATATTGAACGCAAGTGAAATATGTCCTACTGTGAACCACCTGCTGCCTAAGCTGCCTGGGAATGCCACAGTGGTTTTTTTTAAAAAAAATGTTTTTAATGAGTTATTGTTTTAATTTTAACCATTTTGTTTACTTAATTCTGCTTTAACTGCACACTGCCTAGGCTCCTTTGGGACTGAGGTGGCTTAGAAATGCTGTAAGTAAATAAGTAAATAAAACAAGTCAGTTAAATCTGCAAGTTCCCAAATCTACACATGCACAAAAAAAAAACCAAACTCAAATGTGTTTTCAAGTAATTTCCTTGGATCATATTTGCCAGCTTTTGACATGAAGTGATAAAATCCAGGGTGTAAGATCTTCAAAGTGTAAATGTAAAAAGTCTACATATATTCACAATAAAGTTCAAATATGTAAAGCTGTTGGGTGGGCTCCTGTGTGAATAACATTGTAAAAACTGCAGCATCATTTACATTCTTTTTGTCTTATGTTTTTCCTCCTCTTTTTCATTTTTCAACTGCCAGATCTTCAAGACAGATGACAGAAGAAATTAATCAACTAAACTGAGAAGAATGAGTTGAAGACTGTGTGCAAGCCTGGGTTGTACCTACTCATATTTTCCCCCTTCATTTAATTTCTATGCTTTTGGATTCCTAATTCTTCTGGAAGAAATTTGTCTATGGATTTAATGAGCAAATTATCCAATAATGTGTTCCTCTTTGTGGCTTTTGGAACCTGGCTAAAATCAAGAGGATAAGTAGAACTCTAATGGTGTGATTTCACTTTCTCAAGCAACCTCATCCTCACCATCTTTGACAGGAGATGAATTACTTTTAATAAGTGCAAGCTGTTCTGACCAGAGTATTTTCCAATGGACAAGATATGCAGGACAAGCTCTACATTTGAGTGAGGTGGGCAGGATTAGGAGCAAATTCACATGTCCTTAAAACTGTTCTATCACACTCTCTACTTAGCACCGATGCTCAAATGGTAGAATCTCATGCCAGTATAAATAATTTAAAAACAACACAAGTGCTTGGCCACTAATTATGCGAATAAAACAATTTGTTAGCACAGTTCTTCACTTGAACCTTCCACTGGGGTTACAGTAATAACTCACCATTGTTTCATACATTCAAGACTCTGCCAAAATTATTTCCATGGAGCTATTGCTTAATAGGGGAGCTAGGGAGATGCATTTTTTAAAAAAAGTTTATAAGTGGGATCTTCCCATCTCAATATCCTGTATCCGAATAGGAAGATGGAATAGTGTTAACATTTAGACAAGTGAGAAAATATTATAGTCTCTTCCCTCCTGGGCTAATCATAATAAAAGTAGGAAACGCCTTCACCGGAAAATATATATATAACTGCTATTACTTTAATGCAAAATGTAGATTGCCTTTAACTTCACAGAATGAACAGAGAATAGATAATACATTAAAGAGCCTTGGTAGTACAGGGGTTTAAGGCACCCTGTTATTAAGCTGGTTATTAAGACCAGCTGTCTGCAATTACTGCAGGGTTCGAATCTCGCCAAGGCTCAAGGTTGACTCAGCCTTCCATCTTTTCTAAGGTAGGTGAAATGAGGACCCAGTTTGTGGGGGCAATAAGCTGACTTTGTATAAATATACAAAAGGATGAAGGCTATTGCTGAGCACATTGTAAGCTGCCCTGAGTCTTCGGAGAAGGACGGCATATAAATCATATAAATCAAATTTTAAAAAAAAATTAGCATAGCCTTATTTTGGACAGTTGGATATTTCTGAACATGCTAAGGAACATACTAACCATTATGGTTAGGATGCATGGCAATGGAGCTCCAGTTTATTTAGCCAAAAAAATCCTGAATATTTTCCATGCATCTTATGCAAATTTGTTGCCATAGCCAGGAATCTCGAAAACTGGAGAAGTATTAAGGCCCAGAGATCTATAAGAGCAGAAACCAGTTCAATGTCCAAATAATCTAAATTTAGGTTAGTAAGTTAAAAAGAACTTTTGTGGCTAATGCTAGAGAAAATTTACCCACATTTACATACTTGAGTTTATGTAACTTTCATCCAGCTCATCACATAGTATTTGCTGAGACCAAATGAAAGCAATATACTAAAAAAAAAGAAGTGCTTTGTAGAATGAGTTACTGGCCCAGATTTTTCTCCAAGAGAGTGACATTATATTCCTTATGCAATTAAGCAATTACTTCTTTGACATACACATTTATGTTTTTTCTCTGGGCCTAACATACTCCCTCAAAAAAACTGCCATTTTCAGCTTTTCTTGTGCAAATTAGGAAAGTGAAAAAGCTGGAGGGAATGACAAATATTACATTAATAGAGGATGTTGATCCCAGAAAGCTGCAATAGAATTTATAAATTACATACCGGTAGGTATACAATATCAGGGCTGAAAACTCTGGATGACTACTAAGCAAAGGATTTGAGTATTTACTTCAGCTGCAATCTAGGGATGCCGAAGTTTGTGAAGCTCAAGATATGATAAGTCTAGTAAAAAGAGAGAGAGATTGAAAACACATTCAGATAACCAGTTTAGGTGCTGGGTAACAAGACATGGGAGTAGTGCTCTCATTATAGCTTTAATGTGTGAAAAGTTGAGGACAGAAAATGATGGATTTCCTACTGTCATGAGGAAGAGGTACTAACTGTTGTTTCTAACATAGGCTAGGACTGAAGGCAGAAGTGAGTTTTGACAGAAGTCTTAGTCATCTATCAGAACCTTACAGTGTACAGAATGCTTCGGTTTTACTGGGAAACCCCACTTTCCCTATGGATCTGACTCTTTCTTTCTCCCATATTCTATGACTGTTTTGCTTGTTTGTTTTCTCATTATCTCTGTTTCATGCACTATTTCTTATTCACTTGCTCATTCCCCTTACCTTGCTTACTGTCAGTCTAAAAACAACTGATAGGGAGGATTAGATACTAGAGGGTGAACTCTACTTCATACAGCATCATTCTCCTGCCCAAACTGCCTGATAGTTGGGGCCTTTCTCTCCTCTTTATATAGGTCAAGCAGTTGCACAAAAGACTAGTAGGCTCAACAAGGAAGCCACATTATATCTGCCTGGTACTATGCAAAAAATTAATCAGACACTGCATGTATAGATGCCGGTATTTGGTTTGTCCAGCTGTCCAAGCCAAAATGGCTAGGGAAGGCAGTCACTGACAAGGAGGCCTGCCACAGCAGCCCAAAGTGGCCATTAGACAATTACCTCACTGCCAAAGGCATCATAAATAATCTATTTAACAAGGATTGTAGCATGAGAAGTTAGAAAATGCCATTCTAACATCAGATTAAATGAATACAGAATTTGGGGACTTCGGTTATACATTGGGGAAACCTGTATCATCAGGGTATCTTAAAAAATAGTTACCAAGGCTTCTTTGAGCTGTTTGGGAAGCACATGGAAGAACTGGGGAAAAGAATGCATCTCTTCCCATATGTATCCTTCTCTATATTTTTAGATTTAGATTTTAGATCATAGCTAGAAAAATCTGGATTACCAGCACACACACACAAAATCTCTAACCTTTGCTGCCACCTAGTGGTCCACTGGATTTTTGCAATACAGATAAAATATCACTAATAACTCTGGTGCTCAGAGTTATTAGTTATTATTAGAACTCAGGAAGTGGAGGATAAATAAAATAAACAAAATGAATAGTAAATGCACCAATTAGTTATTTTATTTTATTTTAAATAAAGTCTTTCTGCAGTTAGGTTGGGTACTATTTTAAGAAGGAAAGCAGGAAGAAAATGAACATGTAATATTTTAAATCATATGCAGCATTATAGATATCATCGCAGTTGGGGAAAAAAGCTTACTAAATACAAGAGAGGGTAGTATGTCCCTGTTCTTATGCCAGCTTCTCTATTCTCAGGTTTTCAAAGTTAGAAGTCATAGCTAGTGAATTAAAACATGTCGAATTTTAATATGAACTGTCCATTTTCATGGGGTGAACTTTCCCATTTGATATTAGACCTCCTTCCCATGCAGTTCCAAGTCATTACAGTACTGCCAATCCAATTGAATGGAAATCTGCAGTTTAGTGCTGTCTGTTTCATTCCCACGCAGTTCAAAGGCTCTATGTAATTAAAAGGACTAAGTATGTCTTGAAACAATTTGTTTTGCTTTAAAATGTGACTTGCTTTAAATGTTAAGAAGATTAGTATCAGCCTTTGCAAGGATAAACTTCCAGGTTCTAAAACCAGAGCATTTAATCTGTTGACATGAGGAGGCAGGGGAGAGATTTTTGGTGCCTCTGGTTGATATCACAGGTATTAATCCATCTATCAGTTTTGCTGACTCAGCCAAAGACTATGCAGCTGTTATAAATGGCAGTATTCCTGGGTTTGAGATTTGTTCTCCCAACCAAAATAAAAAATAAAAAAAAATCTTTCTGCAGAAATTTTATTCCTCTGGATGCCTTGAGAAAGCAAGACAAAAATTTTAAGAACATAGCTATTATTGAGTTCTCCCTTCTTGCCCAGGCTTTCTTGGCCACTTAGGCAGACACTATATCAACAAATGGAGCAGAGTAACTTTCAGAAAGTCTCATAGCAGTTTATGTGTATGATGACTCATTGGAAATATTGAGCACCAACAACTTGATGCTTCCCATCTGTGTATCTGTTTGTGTGCACGCACATGTACAAATTGGAACGTCTCCACTTCATAGATCAGATCTATGAAGGGATCTAGAGACTAACCAGTTATTTGATTAAACAAATCTTTGACTCAGTAACATCATTTCAAGAACCAAGGGAACACAGCTGTTTAGGAACCATCAGAAATGATGCAGAAGACAAAAGAAAGCCAACCAAAGTTCCAATCTCTTAACACCCACAGCTGACACACATTCAGGGGTGGGTTGCTGGGGGTTCACAGGTGTTCGGGAGAACCTCTAGCTAAGATTCTGTGCAGTTTGGAGAAACCCCAAATCCCACTCCTGGCTTGTACCACCCACCCTGCCCCTCCCCTCCCAGTAGCCCCCACGCAGCCCATTTTGGATGCAGGCAAGTGCAGGGTGCGTGTGGAGGCTCGGGGAGGGTGAAAAACGGGCCTACCAGAAGTTCAGGAAGGTGGGAAATGGGCCCATTTCTGGCCTCCAGAAGGCTTCCGGAGCCTGGGGAAGCCGTTTCACCCTCCCGGAGGCTCGAGAAAAGCCTCCGGAGCCCGGTGAGAGCAAAAACGCCCCCTTCCTGCATGGTGCAGGAAGCCAACTAGGCCACGCCTACCATGGCCATGCCCGTCCAGTAACTGGGCAGAGAATCTCTTGTTAAAATTTTTGAAGCCCATCTCTGCACATATTGGGTGTTCTTTACTTTCTTGACTTCAGTCCTCCTGCCAGCTGATTCCCTTCAAAGTGAAAATTACCGGCCAATCCATCTGTCTTGAATCCAGGCTTCAGGCAGGCACACCAGCAGGATAGGGAGGAAGACCTCATGTATTCCTCCTTTGTTTCTTGCTCATAAATAATCCATCTCACTTTTTCCTAACAGGAATGCTTTGTTCCTTATTTCCCTTTTGTCATCTTAAACTGTCTGACTCAAAAGTAACTTTTCTTTCAGTTTATACCTTCACCACTCCTCCCCATTTCTCTTGAGTAATCTTGCTATCTTACATTAAATCTCTGACTCCAGTCCTTTCCTGAGGTTGTTTTTCTCTGCTCATCACCTCCTTTTCTGTTTGGAGCCATTTCATCTAGGCTTGTTCTTTTTGAAGACCATCTGCATCAGTCACTTTCTAGATCTCTGTTTGGCCTTAGATTGGTGTTTCTTTTGCTAGGTCTGTTCTTGTATCACAAGTCACTATCTTTTATACCTTGCCCCAAACTCTTAAGTTTCATTTCTTCTTATTGGTTATACCATGGGTGTCAAACTCACGCTGCTGTCACATGACGTATCATGACATTTTTTCCCTTCACGGAGCTGGGGTGGGTGTGGCCTCCATGTGATGCATCTGGCCCATGGGCTGCCAGTTTGTCACCCCTGGTTATGCCCTACCTCCCTCTTCAAAAAATCTCCAATTATGTGGTTTCCTTACAGGCCTCACTCCTTC